TGGATTTGAACCATATGCCTTTGGGTTGGCAGCACAGCCCTTTACACTATATATTGCACTCAGCCCACTGAACCCTTTGGACTCCTTACCTTTTCAAGAAGTGCCACGAAGTTGTACATAAATAAGAGCAGTGATGGTTCAGTGGTAGGACTGTCACCTTCCACCTGGAGACCTGGGTTTGATTTCCAGTCAGTCTGCCGACGGGGGTTTGCATGTTGTGATGTTGATCAGATTTCCGGAGAGCTTCCAGACTAAGATGAAATGAGAAAGAAAGGCCTGGCATTCTTAAAATCGGCCTCTGAAAAAGACCTGCAGATTTGTAACTTTGGTAATCTCTGACTAGTGTTTAGTTCCATGGGGCATGGGGTCAGTCAGTGTTGGAGGCCACCTCTTCAGCAGCTAACAGTAACAAAGTGAATAACAAAGTCTGGTGGCCTAGTTGCCAGAAGCTATGCTGCAATCCCAAAGGCACGCAGTTCGAATCCACCAGCTGCTCCGCAGGAGAAGGATGGGCAATTTCCTCCTGTGCAATTTACTACCTCTGAAAACCTGCTGGAGGGTCAGCTATGGGTAGTTCCAACTCAACAACAACATAACAAAAACTAAACTAGCTTCACTTTTTCAATGCTACACAGCAAGAAAAAAACCAATAAAACACCAAAGTGAAATTAAAATAGGGACAAATAAGCTGCTAGCTAAATTGACCAGCTTCTCTCCCTGTCAAAACCATTTGGCAGTGTGTGTTCAAAGCCTAAGTTGCTAAGGGCCGTGGAGTTGGCTCTGACTCCTGGCGGCCGGCTGCCACTGAACCCAGCCCTGCGCCGTCCATGCCAGCCTCACGCTCTCTGCTGTGCCTGACCCCGTCATGGCCGTGGTGCCAGCCCGCAGTCTATAGTGAGGTGCACTGTTAGTCACCAGCTTCCCAGTGGAAGAAAGGGGGCAGTTGGGGAGACCAGCCAGAGGGGGCCGGGTCCCTGTGAGTTGGAACTGACTCCAGGGCAGTGATTTTGAGCTTTGAGTTCTGCTTGCCCAAGCGTGCAGACGAAGGTCCGTGGGAGCCACACGGCCAAACTG